GTGCTCTGTGCTCTTTGCTCTGTGCTCGCTGCTCGGTGCTCATGTTGGTTCTGTGTTGGATCTGATGTTGGTTGTCGGTCCCCCTGACCGTTGTTTTTGTTATTGTCTGGCTGGAGCATGTCGTCGTCTTCCTCGGATATGCCGTCTTGTACAGCGTGGCGATAAGTTCCTCATCGCTCAGCGTCGCTTGGTCTGATGGCGCGGCTCTCAGCAGGCCAAGGCGTCGACTGACGAGGCCTCCTTCTGCTGCGGCCTGGATGACCGACGGCCGCGCCTCGGAGGACGCGGCCACTCGTCGGTTGGTTTCGCTTGCGGAACGGCTGGAAAAACGCAGAATCGTCGAGTAACGTTCTCTCGAGCGTCTCCTAGAGCTTGTATGGCGCGGAAGACCTCTTGCGCACGACAACATTGCCGTGAGCGAACGAGATACGGCTTGTCATGCTGCCACGTACCCAACATAGGACGAAAAGATATCACTATTTCGAGTTCCAACATGCAAGCGATACCATTCGGCTTCGATCAACGGCTGTATGTGGCCCCACACAAAGCCATCGACACCTCATGTCTCTACGACCAACGGGACGTCGTCGACTCGCGCTTGACCGTGTTTACTGCAGCACGCACCGGGAGCCATCAAATCCATTTGGCTTCACCCAGAGGTCGCCGAGATGATGGCCGGCGTCAACAAGCTCGGGAAGCACCTCTAGCACATCCGCGAGGCGCATCGAGATGGTTAGTACTCCTTGGTAAGGCGTAGCGCCTGGATCCCCACGAACGTCATCGCGAGCGTCTCCATCAACAGCACTGACACAGACGAGAAGGTCGTGATGAAAGTCTCGATGCTGTCACATGCGGGATACGGAGGCAAGATGCAAACTTGGTGGGAGCGGAAGGAGCACAGAGACCGCGACGAGTGCACCGACGCCCGGCATGGCCTCGATGGCATGCGGTAGTATGAGTGCGTGTGGCGGCGTTCCACGAGTGGCCTTGGCCTTGGTCGTGCGGTCATCGTGGCAAGCTGGTTGCTTGTCGTGTCGCGGAAGCGTCGAATGTTGGCTTCTAAATTTCGTATCCGGATGCGCGATCGGATTGGTGGAAATCTTGGTCCAGCAGCCAATCCAGCGCAACCCTCACCCGTTCCAAGATCCTCAATCCTGGACGACAGTGCGTCTCAAGAAGGAAAAACCGTGACATATCAACTACATCCTTGCTCATGCACCACGTCCAAGGTACTCCGCAACAGGTCTCCGCATCAGGTTTGCTGCATGAACGATGTGATTCTAGCAAAACGATTTCTGCCAATCCGATCGCGCATCCGGATAAGAAATTTAGAAGCCCGCGCTCACGCTTCCGCACGTCGTCGAGGCGATTGCTACGTGCTTGAGCAACCACAACGACGTTGGCTGCTTCCTTCGAGCCGTGCCACGGATGCACTTGACGCCAGCACTCACAGCTTTTCTCGACGGCAACACGGCCATGCCATCAACGGTCAGCGCCAACTGGCCGTACATCACCTTAAGCGGGACGGAGTTGCCGCCTTCCGTCTTGGCGTTGCTTGCAGCGACACTACCGCTGCGTCCTCGCATTCAACTCCAGTGCTCGATCCAGGAACCGGCATGACTTGGTCGCTCGTCGCCGTCGTTGGACCTGCGCTCAGCAGTGTCAATTTCAATGTTTTCAGCGACCGCATGGTCGATGGTCAATGTCAAGCAATCTGCGACCTCCTCTTGCAGCGCTGCCCACGTCTGTACCGAGTAATGCTCTTCGACTATTCCTTTTCGGAGAACGAGGGCGTCGAGTTCAACGATCCCGCCTCGACTGCCGCGCGACAACGCGACGATGCTGCCGTTGCGTTCTGCGATGCGCTGCAAGCCAACATGACGCTGACGGACCTCATTATCACCAACGCCCACAGCCTCGGTGGCTTCCACGGCCGCACGCTCCCAGTGTCGTTGAAGACCTTGAATTGGGAGGGTTGCTCGAATGGTGTTGGCGACGACGCAACGGTGACGAACCTTGCGACCGCCGTCTGCAGCACGAAGCTCAAGCACTTCGAGAGCAGCGTCTTTGGCCAACTGGCGACACGTTCGGCCGCGGCGCCAACGCTTGCACAACTCAAGTCGCTCGTCGTCGTCGACCGACTGGATGTCAACCACACAGATGCATTGATTGCGGGCTTGTCCCGGCGCTGACCTCTCTCGAGCTTCGCGATCTCGTCGTCGATGGAGCTGCTCATGGAGGCGCTTGCGTCGACGTGCGTGCGTCTGAAGACGCTCAGTATTCATGGGCATCAGTGGACGAGGCAGGAGGTCGTGGCTGTCCTTTCTGGCGTCGTGCAACTGCCATGCTTGACGTCACTGCGCACGTCGATGTGCCTCTCCGACGCGCGGGACGTGCTTCCGGCGCTCGTTGCTGCAGGCCGCCAACTCCTTTGCCTTGACACACAGGAACCCCTTCAAGATATTGTTTTGGCCAATCACGAGCAATGGCACATCCTGCGCCGCCAGCAACGAGTACTATTGGCCGATCCCATCCGGAACGCTGAGAAAGACATGGCCAAAGCTGTGGATTCATCCTGAATGGCTTCGGAATCTTCCTTCGAGGCGCTCGCTTTTCATGTATGATAGTTGCAGTGGCCACTTCGATGCGCAACGAGTCGAGCGTGCTTACTTGCTCGTTGACCCGATCACGCTCGACACATACGAGTGCATATCGCTCATGTGCTTCCACCGCTGCCTGTACATGGACGGCATCCGACAAAGCGGGACGCCTGCTGGGCTTCCTCGCCGTCACAGAAGAGGATTTGGCCGGAGCCCACAACCGCCGCCTCCGTCCGGCCAAGCGCTGTTCGAGCTTGGGGTCGCGGGAAAAGCCACCCAAGAAGAAGCCGCCAATGACAGTCGGAACTATATATCGCCCTGTCCAGTACTACAGTGGTCCTCCACTGGTGTACTCAGAGTACCGGTATGACGGCAGTCATCCAGCCACTTGATCAGCCTCGCGGTATACTCCTCGCTGGGTGTACTGGGTGTACGGGCAGGCCGCTCGCCTGCCGGCCAACACGGGTGGAGGTCTCATTGGGGCGGTTGGCGGAGCGAACCGCCGTGTCCCAACGGCGACAGCGCCACGGTCGTTCATTGGTGCACCAACCGTCCAAACTTGAGGTACTACCGTTCTATTGGAAGACTACCGGTGCGACGACACCTCTCAGAAAGAGTCTGGTTCGACGCGAACGAGGTGTGATGCTGAATCTGGTCGGGCCCGTTCTCGTGCCCGTCGCCGAGGACCTCAGCGCTGCCATCGTGGCGGCTGTGCTCTGCGCCTCGCTGCTGCTGACGGCGGGCATTCTGCAGCAAGGCGCGCAACCCTCAATGTTCCAAGACGGCTTGATCTTCTTCAGGCCAGTGTGCCACGTGGCAGCCGATAACATTAGTTTGGACGCCGCGACAGACGACGCCGGGGTGGCGGAGATGCCGACTGCAAGCTGCACACCACCAGGTTCGATCGGCGCCCAGTTGGTGCTAACGTCGCACCTCCCGACGCTCACGCTGCTGCTCTCGATCGTCGTCGTCGCCGGCGCAGTCGTCGTCGCGTCAACGACGACAACCTAATGCATCACGCCGAGTGTATATAACCTGGGATATGAACGCGGCGGCGGCAGGTGGTCGGCCGTACCTATACTTTAGACAAGTTGTTGCAATGAAATTTTACGGGGAATTCCCGTTCTGCAACGGTCGCCGGTCGTTCCGGATACGTCCACATACAAACGCGGCATCAACCCGATCCGGCATCCGGATGATGGCCATCAATGACATGCTGCCTCACTGTGGCAGAGGGCTCGTCGGCGTCGCGCAGATGGTCGTGCCATCCACTGCGAATTTTCATCCGCTGCTGCCCCAACTCTACGCGCCTGAGCCCTGCTGCTGCAGACGTCCACCACCACCACGAGCCACGCATGCCCAGTATCCATATACAGTCCTTTGGGGCAGTCAGAGTACCAGTCGCGTGCACGTGATGCCACCCAAGCGCCCGACCGAGGCCAGTGGCCGCCGCTACGCGCCGCCCGCCGGTCGTCCGTCCAACAACGCCGCCAATGCCAAGCCGCGCGCGCCGCGAAAGGGCGTGAGCAGCCGTGCGTCCAACGTCCCATCCGCCGCCTCGTCGTACGAGTACGACTACGAGTACAACATGATGCCGATGATGCAGGCGCCGCCCAAGTCGCAGCCAACCTTCCTCTCCAACATTGCGCCCATCTCGGCGAAAGAGGCGAGCATGAAGGGCTCGAACGCGATGCAACTCCTGCTGCAGGGCACGTCGTTCACGATCGACGATGCGTTCCGCGCGATCGAGCGTGCGATCCAAGCCGAGAACGAGGGCCGGTTCCGCGAGGCGCTCAAGCACTTTCTGGACGGCGGCGAGATGATTGTGACGGCCGCCGAGAAGGAAGCGTCCCAGAAGGTCCGCAACCTCCTCCTCCATAAAGGCAAGGAGGTGCTCGAGTGGGCCGAGCACCTCGCCGAGTGGATCGAGCGCTACAACACGTCGACGCCGCCGGTCCGCATCGCCAAGCCGATGGCCGTCGAGGTCACGTACGACCGCACGATGAACTCGCCAGACCTCGACGAAACCGAGGCGCGCATGATGTTTTACACGCCCGTGTGCTCGGGCCCGAAAGCGTTCACCGAGACGGGGTACCGGCTGCAGTGCATCCAGAGCGGCCGCCGCCCGCGGCTCATGGTGGTCATCACCATGTACAACGAAGACGAGAACGAGCTCCGGTCGACGCTCCGCAAGGTCTGCAACAACGTCCTGTACCTCAAGCAGCACAGCCTCCCGGGGTACGAAGGCGACGACGCGTGGAAGCAGGTGCTGGTCGTCGTCGTCTCGGATGGCCGCACGAAAGCCAACAAAGGCACGCTCGAGTGGCTCGCCAACGTCGGCCTCTACGACGAAGACGTTATGAACATCACGTCGACCGGCGTCAAGGTGCAGTGCCACCTCTTCGAGCATTCGCTTCAGATGACGAAAGAGAACTCGATCCGGTTCCCGCCACTCCAAGTGGCCTTTGCACTCAAGGAGAACAATGCGGGAAGCTCGACTCGCACCTCTGGTACTTTGACGCGTTTGCCGAGCAGATCATGCCCGACTACACCGTGCTCCTCGACGTCGGCACGATGCCGACCAAGTCGTCGTTCTACAAGCTGCTCACGGCGCTCGAGATCAACGCACAGATCGGCGGCGTCTGCGGCGAGATTGCGGTCGACAAGCCGCTGCCCAACATGTGCAACTGGGTCATCGCGGCGCAGCATTTCGAATACAAGATTTCCAACATCCTCGACAAGTCGCTCGAGTCGTGCTTCGGCTTCATCTCGGTGCTGCCCGGCGCGTTCTCGGCCTACCGCTACAAGGCGATTCGCGGCGCGCCACTGCAAGCGTACTTTAAGAGTCTCACAACCGACATGGCCGAGCTCGGACCGTTTGCTGGCAACATGTACCTCGCCGAAGATCGCATCCTGTGCTTTGAGCTCCTCGCGCGCAAAGACTGCAACTGGACCATGCACTACGTCAAGGACGCGATCGCGCGCACAGACGTGCCGACCAACTTGATCGACCTCGTGGGCCAGCGCCGGCGCTGGCTCAACGGGTCGTTTTTCGCGACGTTGTTTGCGATCTGGAACTGGGGCCGCGTGTACACCGAGTCGAACCACTCGCTCACGCGCAAGCTCGCGCTCCTCGTGCAGTACATTTACAACATTCTGCAAGTGCTCTTCTCGGCGTCTCAGCGGCCAACTTTTACCTCGCCTTGTACTTTGTCATCTTCCAAGGCTTCCGCGACAACCGGTGGAACTTCATCGACACGTCCGAGTACCCGCAGTGGGTCCTCGACGGCCTCCCGACGGCGTTTAACGTCTTTTACGCGGTCACGGTCTTTACCCAAGTCACGATCGGCCTCGGCAACAAGCCCAAACACGTCAAAGGCACCCATTACCTCATCTCGGTGCTCTTTGGCTTGCTCATGCTGCTCGCATCCGGTGTCGCCATCGTCATCTTCATCACGTCCTCGAAAGACGCCATGGCGATCGTGCTCGCAGTGCTCATTCTCGGCACGTTCTTCATTGGGTCAGCGCTGCACTGCGAAGTGCACCACATTGTGCTCACGTTCGTCCAGTACACGGCGCTCATGCCGAGCTTTGTCAACATCCTCATGGTCTACTCGTTCTGCAACCTCCACGACCTCAGCTGGGGCACAAAGGGCATCGACACGGGCCACGAGGCCCATAAAACCGAAGCCGTCGGCCAGTACAAGGACATTGTCGCGCGCCAAAAAGCTCTGGAGGCCAAGAAAGCCCAAGACGCGCGCAACCAAGACGAGCTCAAGAAGCGCTTCGACTCGTTCCGGTCCAACTTGCTACTGGTGTGGGTCATGTCCAACATGTCGATGGTCATCATCTGCGTCAACACGGTCGGCGCCGACTCGTTCTTGCCGTTCTTGTACGCGTTCGTCGCCGCCTTCAACGGCATCCGGCTCCTCGGCTGCATCGGGTACCTCATCTACTACGCGCGGCAGTTCCTCCTCTTCAATACGCTGAGCGCCACGGGCGTCCTCCACAAGCGCCACGAAGCGCGCAAGCACAAGAAGGCCGAGGACCCGGACCCGATCGACATGGAACTCGGCACGTTCAACGAACCGGCGACGTCCGAGATTGGCGCGCCCATGATGCAAGCGCCGTACAACCGCATGCGTTAGATCGATAGCTTTATCGGATACACGTCGCCGATAAGATCCAATGTACTAGTACCATTACAATTTGCATGGTGACGACTTACCGTAGATGAGATATGGATTTGGTCGTCCTAGATAGATGGATAGTACGAGATGGATACACGGCCAAGTCCACTTTGCACTTGCTGCCGAACAACGCCGACACGACGCCGCGCGCGCTATCTAGTATTATCCAAGACGATCTATCCACCTGCCATCGAGCATTTAAATACTTCCCACTGGCTACGCGTCCTTGGATACCTGGTACGACGTTGGCTGATGCGAGACACATGTCCGAAGCATTCTTTTAATGTCTATCGCGCCTCTCGTTAGGTTTCGATTAGATCTTATTGGCGAGAATGTCGGCACGGAAGCTCTCCATGAGCGACGTCATGTAGTAGAGGTTGTGGAGCGTTGCGAGCATCATGCCTGTAGGCTCATGCGCCTTGAAGAGGTGGTGGATGTACGACACGCTGTGCTCCTTGCACGCGGGACAGCTGCAGCTCTCGTCGATCGGGCCATGGTGCGACGCAAACTTGCCTTTCGTGACTTGGATGCGCCCGAGGGTTTTGGAAAACACCGTGCCGTGGCGGCCCGCGCGCGTCGGGTAGCACGAGTCGAACGTGTCGATACCAAGCGGGACGCAGCCGTGGAGCGACGGCTCGTCCGCAATTCCGAGCAAGTGAATGGGCTTTTCTCGTGGCAGCTGCGGCGTCACGTACGTCAGCAATTCCAACATCTCGTCGCGGTTCTTGCCAATGCTACCGCCGATGGCGTGGCCGTCAAACGGCAACGACGCAATGTACTCGACGCTCTGCTTTCGGAGGTCGTAGTCGACGCCGCCGTGGATGACACCATACATGGCTTGCTTCTGCACGTTCTTGAGATGCTCGCGCAGACTCCGGGCCTCCCAGCGGTGCGTGCGCTTGACCGAGAGCGCCTAGTACGATGCCACGTCATCCACCGTTTCAAATAAGAAAGGAGTTGCTACAAGCGCCTCGGGCGTAATGTGGTACGGCGGCAACTCGTCAAATGGAATGATAATGTCGGCGCCGTACGCCTTCTGAATCTGGACGCTCGACTCGGGCGTGAGCGTCACCTTGCGCCCGTCCCGGTACGACTTGAAGTCGACGCCGTCTTCGCTGATCTTGGCGACCGTCGACGGACCGTCGCGGTACTTGCCGCCGTGGCTGCGGCCCGCACCCTTCATTGTGAGCTCTTCGTGCACCGAGCCATACGCGAGCGAAAACACTTGGAAGCCGCCGCTGTCGGTGATGAGCGGTCGCGTCCGGTTCATGTACTTGTGCAAGCCACCGGCGCCGGCAATGACGTCCGGGCCTGGCTGCAAGAGCAGGTGGTATGAATTCGCAAACATGAGCTGGACACCCGCCGCGTCAGCCTCGCGCTGCGTGACGCCTACACCTTGCATGTTGGCACAGGGCAAGTGGAGAATATGACAACCTTTGAGCGCGGCGTTGGTGCCAACGGGCACAAATCCTGGCGTGTCGATGACACCGTGCGGCGTGTGGATGCGCCCGACGCGCGCCCGCGACTTGGTCGACTCGTGCAGCACTTCAAACCGAAAAAATCGCGCGCGGCGTACGCTGGGAACGTCGACGCCTCGGGTGGCGGGCCATAGTCGTGGTCCTTCTTGAACCGGACCTTCTTGACTTTCTGGACGGGTGCCACCACATCGGTGCTCGTCGTCGCGGCCGTCGACAGATGCACCACGGAGCGACGGCTCGCGGCGCGGTTCGCCGCCAATGGTCGCCACATTGCCTATGCGGATGCGACAGGCGACCGTATCCGGCACTCGGCTCGAGTGCCGCCGGCGTCATCTCGGCCATCGGTCGGTCTCCAGGACGTTAGGCTCGGCTCACCCTGCAGCAGCCAGGTCGCCACGGAGGACCCCACGTCAGGTGGACTCCATGACGTGGCACTCGCAGGTGCCTTTAGACAGGCAGCATGTCGTCGGCACAGATACGCGATCGCCCTTTCGACGACCGGTGCACAAGACGACAACTTGTGCACGATTGGAAGGTCCGCAAGCATCAGTCTTTCAATTGTACTATCTCCAACCGACTTGGCGGTCCCCAGACAACAATACTACTAGTGCGTAGGACATGCACGAGGACGACTGTTGGATTCGAAACGTGTTTTTTAAAATTGAGTCAGCGTCGAGCCGCGCGTCGACTCGATGCCCATGTTGTTCATGTCGCTCGGCGTGTTGTACGTGAAGCCTTGGAACGTGATCGAGCCGCGCACGTCCGACGACCGGTTGTACGAGCCGCCCATGACGGTCGCGTCCGGCACCGAGTTGAGCTGCATTTTCGTAAACTCGGCCTCGAAATTCTTGGTCTCTTCGAGGTTGATGTTGGCGCACGGGTTGAAGGGCGGCGGCAGCTCCCGCGCGTAGAGCGCATCCCAGTTGATGGTCGCGAAGAACGGGTGCACCTGGATGTCCTTGGCACTCTTGTTGCCGAGGCGCTCGGTCGGGTTGCGGTTCAAGAGGCCCGCAATCAGCGACTGCGCCGGCGCCGAGACATAGTCGGGGAACGTCAAAGGCGCGTTCCGGACACGGTCAAAGAGCTTTTGGCGGTTGCGCGTGTACCACGGCGGGAGGCCCGTGAGCATCTCGTAGAGCACCATACCGAGGGCCCACCAGTCGACCGACGTGCCGTGACCGACGCGGTCGAGGATCTCGGGCGGGAGATACTCGGGCGTCCCGCACATCGAGTTGGTGCCTTCTGCACCGTCCGTGATACCTTCCTTCGCCAAGCCAAAGTCGGCTATCATCGTCGAGATGAGGTTCCACGCGCCAGCTAGCGTACTGTACCTAGGAGGACGTGGCCCGTCGCGTCGAAGAGGATGTTTTCGGGCTTGAGATCCCTAATACGACGCGTGCGTGAGCGTACCGAGATGGACAAGATCGATGGTACCGGTAGACGACTCCGAGCTGGTGCAGATGGTCAAGGGCGAGGACAATCTCAGCGGCGTAAAAGCAGGCCATGCTCTCGGAGAAACGCTCCATGCGCGAGAGATGGAAGAAGAGCTCGCCGCCGGGGCAGTAGTCGATGACAAAGTAGAGCTTTTGCGTGGTCTGGAACGCGTAATGCAAGTGCACTACGAAGTTAGGGTAAGAAACCATGCTTGGGCAAGAGGAGACGCACCAATGTACGGGTGCTTGGTGAGCCCGAGGACGCGGCGCTCCGTGCGCGTGTGCTCGACCTGGTTGCGTCGCTTGACGTTGGGCTTGCTCAACGTCTTCATCGCGTACAGCTTCTTCGAGTCCTTCTTCCGCACGAGCGTCACCTTGCCGTACGACCCTTTTCCAATGACCTTGAGCAGCTCAAAGTCATCGAGGCGCGTCTTGGGCGTGTTGTAGAGTGTGATCTCGTCCTCCATGTTGGCCTCCTTGTCAAACTCGGCGCTGTCGTCGAGCTCGGACGAGGCCTTCGAGACGTACTCGACCTTGGGCGCGGCCTGCGGCTTGGGCACACAGTTGGCGCTCGTGTCCGAGGGCGGCGTCGTCCGCGGCTCCTTCTATACACATGCATTGCAGTGAACCATATCGACAAGCAAGCAAGCGGTCGTACGTGCTCGAGGAGGAAGACCTTGAGCGCTTCGCTGTTGTGCGGGTTCGGGTACGGCGACGTCGGGTCCCACGCACAGAGCTGCTGGAGCCACACGCTGAGCTCGAGCTGGCGCTTGTGCACAAACTCGGGGTTGAGGCTGCCAATGAACTTCTTGGGCGGCACGGCCGTGCACTTGTAGCCTTCCTTGACGAGCTACGTTTCGGCTAAGTACCATCTTCCATAGCTGCGCTGTACCGTGTCGTGGAGCTCCTTGAACTCATGGTATCGGTGCTTGACGACGTAGCTCATGTTGTCGATCTGGACTTCGAGGATGTACACCGTGTGCTTGGAGCCACCCGAGCTCACGATCTCATGGCCCACGATCGCGTTGAACCGGACCATGCTCCTCCCGTCGTCTTGGCCCCTCGCTCCTATATTCGTTGTGGCGGCTCGAAATAGCCGGCAGCCTGCCTTCCGGATACGTACAGCGTATCCGGATCGAATAAAAATGTCGACCTTCAACGTTGCAAATCATGGCGCGCTGTGTCTTTATGGCTCGGATCGTAGTCGACGTAGAGGCGGCGCTGCGTCAAGCTCGCACCCACGCTTAGTCGGTGCCATCGACTAAAACGAGGAGTCGCTTCTCGGCGCCCAGCAGGTCGCAGTTACGCACGCGTGTGGTGCTTAAGACATGACGTTCGTCCGTCCCTTCTACTCGTTCGATCGCTCTCTCCAGCAGTCGCTCTCAATCCCGCGATCATCTTAGTCGATATCTCGACTAGGCATTGTCCGAGTCGATGGATGCGGCGACTGCAATGCAGCAACTCGATGGACGCCTTGTCTCTTCTCGTCCATGCAGCTACAGTTCGATGTACGCGCTGAGGACGGCGACGAGCGGCCGCGAGTGAGTCATGCTGGCCGTCTTGAAGTATGCAGTTTGAGAGGTTTTGGGCAAGCAAGACCGCCAAGGTCGACTGCCCGGTTGAGTGTATTCCCGGTAATACTGCCATTGCTCGCATGAATATATAGCAGTCAAGAAATGGCGTGCAGGGGGCCATGCTCGTCTTGGGGCGTGACGTACGAGTGTGTGTTGCTTGGTGACGCGCCGGCGCAGAAGCCTGGCGACGCCAGCTGGTTTTCGGAAACGCTTCTGGCGCTTGGGAAACCTCTGAAAGTCGATACGCGCGAGCCAGCAGTAGAAAGGCAGGACCGACCGATGGCCGCCGACGACACGAGACGCATGTTCACGATCGCAGCGCTGGTCTGCCAGGTCGTGTCGACGGTCGCGGCCTCGTACATGCTGCTGCGCATCCGCCACACGACGGCCCTCTCGACAAAGCTCATCTTTTACCGCGCGCTGAGCGACGTGGGCTTTTCGCTCACGGGCGCGATAGCCAACGTCCTCGCCTTGCGTCGCGCGCCGCCGTCGTGGCCCATTGACGTCTTCCTCAAGGCGCCGCACTGGAGCCTCGAGATCTCGTCCTTTCTCTGGTCGATTGCCCTCGCCTTGTACATTTTGTTTCGGCAGAACCAGCGCGGCGACTTCTCGATGATCTTCACGCACACGGCGATCTGGTCGCTCACGCTGCTCTACGCCGCGCTCGAGATCTACGCGCTCGAGTCGAATTCGCAGCAGGTGCCACTGATCGCGCGCGTCGTCTGGGACACGCTCGCCCTCATCGCGCTCGTGACCGTTCTCTATACGCTCTGCTCGTTCCGGGCGCACAAGATTCGGTCCGGCCAGCTCGGACAGAGCGTCGTCATGGGCAAGCTCCTTGGCTACATGCTCATCTTCCTCGCGTTCGTGACACCCAACCTCACCAACGACGTGTGGTTCTTCGCGACCGGCGCGTTAACGCAGACGCCCGACGACGCCTTTGCCAACATCTCGTCGATCTTGTTTGCGCTGTGGCCGACCGGCAACTGCATCGTGTTTCTTTCCAAAGTCAACTGCTACCGGCCGCCGACGTCCAAGATTGACGAGGCGGCGCCGCCGCTCTCGCCGACCCAAGAGCTCCACGGGCTTGAGATTGGCGAGAAGATTGGCCAAGGCCTCGCGGTCGTGTACCGCGGCAAGTGGCGCGGCGCAGTCGTCGCCGTCAAGATGAAGATGCTGCTCCTCGACAACAACGACGAAGCGCTCGACCCGGCGTTTTTGCACGAGTGCAACGTCGAGATCCAGCAAGAAGCCATCGTGATGAAGCGACTCACGCACCCTAACATTGTGCTCTTCATGGAGGCCGGGTTCCACCAAGGCTCGATTTGCATCATCTCCGAGTACTGCGCGCGCGGCTCGCTCCGCGACGTGCTCTCGAATGCGTATGCGCTCAACGGGCGGAGCATCATTTGGCCGATGAAGATTCGACTCGCGCTGGGCCTTGCGTACGGACTGCAGTACCTGCACAACTCGCAGATGATCCATCGGGACCTCAAGAGCCCCAACATCCTCGTCGACGAGACGTGGCATGCCAAGATCGCCGACTTTGGCACGCTTCGCCTTGCCGAGATCGTCCGGAGCCAGAACCACCACGTGTCGCCAGAGATGACCGGCCTCGTCGGCACCACCCGCTGGATGGCCCCCGAGGTCATCAAGGGCCACAAGCAGTACACGGAGAAGATTGATATTTATTCGCTTGGCGTCATCCTCTGGGAGCTCATTGACGGCCGGAAGCTGCCGTACGACGAGATCCGGTGGAACCACCAGATTGAAGCCGCCATCGTCCAAGGCAAGCGCCCGACGATCGTCGCCAACTCGTGCCCGCCGCGCTGGAAGGTGCTCGTCTCCATGTGCTGGCAAGTCGACCCGACGCAGCGCCCGACGATCGCGCAGCTCATTCGATCGCTGCACCGCGTCGCGAAAGAAGACATCAAGGACGCACTGCACAAGAACTTGCCCTTCGTCGGCAACCTGCAGCAGATGGACTGCGACTACATCCTCAAGAATACGCGCTGCGAGGTCGACATTGAGCCGCCGGGCACCTTGTACTTTAAGCGCACGGCCAGCGACGTGAGCCTCCTCTCGGCCACGAGCACGAATTCGCACCTCAAGCACATTCCGCTGCTCGAAGAGACCAACACGGGGCGGTCTGGCGGCGGCAAGTCGAGCTTCTACGCCTTGGCCTAGCTGCATCTAGGATTTTGTGATTATTTAATAGTACAACATGTGTCGCTTCAAACGAGCTGATCCACGTGCATGCAGTGTCAACTGCCTTTGCGCGAGAAGGTGCGGCCATGGCGTCGTCTTCAAGCTCCTCCAAGCGAGCCGCACGAGCTCGATCGCATGCACCGTCGAGGATTGTAGCCGAGGCAGTGTCGCAATGTCATCCTGCTTGGCAACGCAGTCGAGCTCCAGGTCGGGATCGTCGTAGGGGTAGGTGTGTATGGCGCGATTTTAAGTACGCGAATCAACAGACCGGTTGGTGCTGCCGTTGTTAGAAGCAGGATTCAGAAGGAACTCTTGTCCGTTGGCAAGCTCACCAGGCTTATTGGAATCAGTGTGTTGCTCCAAGCGCCCTTTGATCGATGCATTTTGGTCTGCAGGGGTTCGATCCCTTTCGACAAGAAGTCGTTGAAGGTAGCACGGAGCTCGTTGCAGATTGTAGCAATCGGAACGTAGGCGCTTGCCGTTGGTCACCGCCGTGTACGTAGAGTGGTCGCTCGAAAGGGTAGTTCACCTTGGTTCAACTCGTGGGCGATCCAGTTCTTGGCGAGAAGTTGGCTCTGCTACTGCATAGTACACCGCCAAGTCCAAGAGGCTTGTATCTCGAGGGACGGGAAGCGTGTGAAGCGGAAGGCGTTTGAAGTAGGCGCATGACCACAACCTCCATGCGTCGTCGATACGCTTCACTGTTCCGTGTCGACGGCATGGGTGTGCGGGCGCTGACAGAACGACGGTCGACTCGGTCCTGTAGAGAGCGTCACGACGACGTTGCTATCGCCCAACGTCCTCACCGTCACGAGGTGACCAAGTACATTGCACTCGACCATGTGCTCGACGTCCCCGTCGTTGCAGTCGACGTGAAGGAGCGCAACCTGGGATGCCCAACGCAGCGCAGCGTGCCACGTCAACAACGACGTCCTTGACGTGAAATCCGCGACTTCAAACCCACGAATGCACGTACCTTCCGGATAATTGCCGGATAAAACGCTTGATTCGAGAAATTTCCGCTTTGACGCACGTGGCCGCTCATTTGGCAAGATGAGCGACGACGAAGCAAGCCCAGGCAAGCTCCATGACGGGTACCATGGCTGGTTCAAGTCCGTGGCGCGTACGGGCGAGGTACGTTGAAGCCGCATGGCGCGATGGCTCATGGCTGCGGTGCTAGGACTTTACGCCCAAGGTCATCTCGACGCCGGTGGTCGACAACGCCGTCGGGTCGGCGTGGAACGCCGGTGGCACGTGGTTCGCCGCATCCATCGCAGACGCAACGTCGTGGACTCAATGGCGCGTTGCGTAGGGAAGAAGTCGACAAGTCCGAGTGGGCGCGCGAGGCCTTGAAGCGCCACATCCTCGACGGGTTTGCGTTTGACGATGCTCTCCATCGCCTCCGCGTCGTCGCGACCGACATTGCGACGTGCACTGGCGAGACCAAGGTAGATGCACCGCGCCAGGTTGCATGCTCCTATCGCATATTGCTAGATTGTCTATAGCCGTGGCAAGAAGCGCTGTGGGTACGAGCTCGACGTCAAGTTTGCATGGGAGTGCACGGACGCCGATGGCGCGACAGCCAGCGGCCACGTCAAGCTCCACGATTTTGAAGACACGAACGGCGAGGACTACGAGATCCACGTCACATCGAGCGGCGGCGCAGCGCTCGGCAAGAACGGCGTCGACGCCATCAAGCGTTGGGAACCGAGCCTCCGCCAGCTCCTCCACGCATGGAAGACCGAACTGCTCCAGCAATGAAAATCCAAATAATATTGCAGTGTCTATCCCTTCGCTCGTCCAGGGTTTCTAGACCCTAGGCTCCTTCCTGTCTGCCGCATGACACACGCTGCGTCATCCAAGTCAGCATATATAAGTGGCATAAAAGCAGAGCTAGCATCGACTGTTGGTCTCGTCCGACGTCGTTACTTTCGCGGAGGCGTTGCGGGCCGCTGCGCGCCGGCACCGCCCATGCCCTGGTACGCAAAGCGCTGCTTCTTCTCGGCGGGCTTGAGGATCTGGAACGAGCACATGAGCGACTCGTCGACCGACATCATGGCGCCGGCGTTGTCAAACTCGCCGCAATAGTTGGGCGCCGAGAAAAGCGTCACGAGCTGGCGCTTGGCGAAGAACTCGTAGCCGTCTTCGACGACTTGGTGGGCGCGGCAGATGAGGTCGAGGTCGTGGCGCTTCAAAAACTGACTAACAATATCGGGGCCAAACGTGAACGAAACACCGCGGTCGTTCTCGCCCCAGCCGAGAATGTCCTTCTCGGGGTCCGACCAGAGCAGATCGCAGAGGAGACCCGTGTCGGGCACGTCGGTCGGGCGCACAAAGCGCTTGATCTGTTCCATTTGGCTGAGCTCGGGCGAGAGGCCGCCGTGCATGCAAAAGATCTTTTCGTCGACGATCGCCGCGACCGGGAGGCAGTTGAAGCAGTCCGTAAACGTCTTCCAGAGCTTGATGTTGTAGCGGCGTTTGCCTAGCGTGCGTGTGAGACCCTTGTCGCTTCTCTACCAGATCGCCTACACTCGTCGTAGAAGCCGTAGATGCGGTTGATTGACGCGCACTCGTGGTTGCCGCGCAAGATGAAAAAGTTCTCCGGGTACTTGATCTTGTACGCGAGGAGGAGGCAGATGGTCTCGAGGCTCTGCTTGCCGCGGTCCACGTAGTCCCTAGAAATGGCGTTAGCCGTCGTTTCGCCGGCCAAAAATGAGTTTCGCCCACGATGTACCCGAGGAAGAGGTAGTTGGCGTCCGGCGGGAAGCCGCCATACTCGAATAGTCGAAGCAGATCGTAGTACTGGCCATGGATGTCGCCGCAAATCTTGATCGGCGCCTCGAGCTCGACCAGGATCGGCTGCGAGAGGAAGATCTCGCGCGAGTGGAGGCAGAGCGCGCGGATCTCGCTCTCGAGGAGGTTGACCTGCTTGCCGGGGCGGGCGCCACGTAACGCTCAGGAGCTTGTCGATGATGCCATCGACGTCGATGGGTTCGAGGGCCGACGCCATGCTTCGTGTTGCGGCAAACGAAAAATGTGAGTGGTGGCACATGACAGAGCCAGTGACCGACCCCTGCGTTTATACTATTGCACACCGTTCTCTTGTTCTTTGTATCTAGCTTTAAACGTTCTCTATTTAAATACAGACGACACAGGCAATGCTGAATTAAAAAAAGGCGGTTCTTCAACCCACGATCGACTTGGGTTTTGTATCCGATGGACGGCAAAGCACTGGATTTAAAAACCAACGCAAGGGTTCTTTTAGTCGGCGCCCGTTTATTTTATTTTATTTTATTACGCGCCGCCGCCGCCGCCTCCTGCCGCTCTATTAATATGGCAGCGATGACGTGGCGCCGTGGCGGCCAAGCGTCGGCGGCGCGTAAAGCTTAGGCCAAGGCGTCGAGCTTAGGCCAACGCGTTCTCGTGCGGCAGGCAGTGCGGGAGCGCATCGGCTGCCGCGAGCCCGCTCTTGATGTACTCGTAGCAGAAGAACGTGATCGCGCACTGCGGCAGAATCCGCAGCGTGTTGACTTGGAAGCCTGCGTAGAGCGCGCCGACACCTTCTTTGCGTGCGATCTTGGCCATCGCGTCGAGAAAGTGCTTGTACTCGCTGTGCCGCCCGACCGTATCTTGCATGCGCACGCGGACCACGTCGCCAGGGTACGCGAAGCAGGACGCGATCGTCTTGGACACGATCGCCGAGAGGACGACCCCCGAGGCCGACGGCTAGAGAGGCTCGCGTCATGTCGTCGAGGCCATGAGGGTAATAGTACCTTGTCGTTCTCGACACCTTCGGCTGCAGCGATGCGCGCCTTCATGGATTCGTAGACTGGAAACTGGATGCCGTAGCTGAGGATACCTAGGTGGCACGTTGGCTCTCGAGTCGCAACTTGTACTATCGTTGCTGTCGACGTACCAACCGCGGACGCCGAGAGGCCCTTGTAAAACGCGCCGAGACCTTCGGTGCGGTAGATCGAACCGATCGTGGAGCGCAGCGCTAGTGGCTCCCATCATGAGCGATGCGACGGTCATGTCGAACGTACTCGAGTACGAGTCCCGCCCGTGCGAGGCCGCGAGCTGATGCATGTGCTGCGTCTGCATGCGCGTGCGAAGAAACCAAAGCGGGTACGTGACCGTGTCAATGGCCGTGCCGGCGATCGTCGCCGACGCGGCTTGCACGACCAGTGGGCTCTATTTCAACGAAACGCGTGAGAAACAACGCGAATACGCGCATAGCGAGGATCGAAGCCGCGTACGTTGCTCAGTGCCGTCGTGTTGAACTGCGCTTTGACCCACTCGTAGGTCGGAAAGTAGAGCGAAAAATACACGGGGAAGCTCAGCATCGCCGCCGAGTAGCCGCGGTACATGCCGCGCACACCTTCTTCGACGTAGATCGTATGCACGCTGCGGAAGATGCCATTGTACTTGCTAAACGCCAAGACGCCGCCTGCCGCGAAGATGAGCCACCGGTTGATAAAGACGATGTACTATTACCTTGGGCCTGGATACGCGTCTTGGCCACGTCCAGCGGGCAGCACATGCTGGCCGTGACCGAGCCCGCGATTGCGCCTGCGATCATGTCGTGGCGGTTCTTCTCCAGCGAGAGCATCTCGATGCAGCGGCGTCTTGGGAAGTGTCGAGATGGTCGATGTGGCTGGCGGCAACGATCTGATTGGCGGAGAAATATCCGGTTCCGGATGCGATGGCCATCATCAGGCCGGATACGGGACAATATGACATGAAAAAAACGGCTGCGTCAGATTGGATCACACGCTGTGGACAGACGACAACCGCTCGACTGCCAGAAGATGCAGCATCCACGCGGGTTGGTCACCAGTCCTCCTCATACATCGGTAGGTTTGCGTCCGTCGTAGACTGTACAATAGTAGCAGCCAAGAGATATCGAACGACGCAGATACGACTGGAGGTCCTACTGAAGTAGTACAGCCTTCTCAAGACTATCCCGACGTCGCTACCTGGGTATATTGCGTGCGAGTGGTGGACGATGACCCGTGCGACGACTTTATTATGATCGCTGCCGCGTCGCTTGCGATCGAACCCAAGTGAACATGACGGATCGACGCGCTTGTATCGCGCTTCTGGTAGCCAGTCCGTGCAAAAGAGCGCTCGAAGCGCGTCACATTCAGCGTATGCGACACGCCGCCTTAATCGCGCAAGCACCTCGCGCCACGACAAGTACGTGATCCACTGCATTTGCATGCGATCCAAAGGGGAGCTACGCAATGCTTCGAGTCTCTGCTCGTACGAGGCGCCAACGAAACGCTTTGTTGACACCTAAAGTTGCCGACGTATTGGAACGTTGACGCAAGCAAGACGAAACAAAACACAAGAAACGTTATAGACAACCACCGTGGGAGGATGCATGCTACGACATCGCAGGCTATGGCAGCCAGGACGGGCCTCGGATCGCGCTCTCGACCCGTAAAAAGCTCTCCTTGAGATCGACCGCCATGAGATCGGCCGTCGCTTGGAGTGGCCCGCCGTCGGCGGTCGCAAAATGCTGCAGACACATTTGGAGACGCTCGGCGCGTTCGAGGAACTGCCCTTCGGCGACGCCATAGTCCTTTGGCTCGAGGCCACCGCCGACGTCGGCCACGAACGCCTTCTTCTCGACGCTTGCGGTCGAGAGCCACTGCCCACGATGCCACCACGCGACTTGGCGCGCGGCCAAAAAGTACAGTCGCGCCGCGCATGCGCTCTTGGCGACCATGACGAGCCCGAACAAGAAGCGCTCTAGACAAGGTCAGTCGACGTTGGCCGCGACGCCGTACCCGCCATCGTGTCGATCGAGAGCTCAAACGGGTCGGGCAGCGGCGCGTCGGACGGGAAGAGACACGCGAACGCTTGGTTCGCGGCGGCGTCAGTCCCCGCCCCCGAGATCTTGCCTTCTTTGACTTGCGTGAGCCAGCTCTGGACGTCTGACGCATGCCCGTGGAGTCCCAGCGGACACGCGGCCACCTGGCTGGACAAGGCGACCCACCGCGCTTGGTGCTCTTTGAAAGCAACCACAAGCTCCATCGCGGTTGCGTCCGCGTCGCCGAGCTGGCGACGAAGCGTGCCCATGACCTCCTCTACCACCATGACGTACAGCCACCGATTATCGTTGTCGTCGGAATTGCGTACGGTTGCCGAGCTCGTCGTAGATCTCGACGGCTTGGAGAAGCGACTGGTACGTTTCTTGGGCCCGGCTTAGCACACTTAGCTTGGCATGGCAGCTGGCAATCTACGAGCGAGCTATATACAGCACCACGTCACTGCGGCACGCGCCTCGCACCCGACTCGCAATCGATGTTAAAAGCGTCGTGCGCTCGTGCTGCCGTAGTCGCTCCAGCAGATCGTCCGTGAGCCCTAACCACGTGCCATGGCACGATGGACAATATCTTCCACAATATATATACATGGCATGTGCAGATCGTCTTTGAACACGTGGGCAAAGAGGCCGTCGGCGTCCACCGTGCTGCGCTCGGACGCATGCAGCGCCAACCACACGTCCGGCACGGTCGCCGCGCCAAAGAGGTGCTCGTCCGCCTTGAGCAGCAGGCCGATGCCAATCCCAAACAGAATGCGCAGTCCTTGGGCGAAGACGAGGTCCCAAATGCGAAGCACCTACGAGCATGCTTTGGTCGAGGCACCCTTTCTCAAGTCGTACCGTTGAGAGCGGTAGCTGCGTGGCGGTAAACACCGAGATGAACCAGCGCTGGACGAGCGCGTCGAGCGGAAAGCCCAGCGTGTCCAAATGATGGCAGAGGGACGGCGCTTGGTCGTGCAGAAGCGCTCGAAAGACGGCCACGTCAACGAGAAGCGCTGGGCGATACCCGTGAAAGTACCCCGGCAAGATGTGGTCGAGCAAGCTACGAGGTGGCGAATATGGCTACGTTGATACGTTGATACATTGATAGTTGAACCGATTGACGACCCAGAACGCACTCTCCTCGTCGAGATAGGCCAAGAGGAGACACGTGACGCGCCACGGACACGGATGGCAGTACGGTCTACACACACGTCGTGAGATCGACCTCATTTCGCGAGGACAGGAAAACTTGTAGCGAGCGAGAGCGACAAGGAGGCGGCGGCGACTTGCGAGCTCCCACTCGGACACGATCGCGTCACTGGGATATGCAGACGCCTTTTTGGCGCCGCGATCGCTTGTGGGTATGTCGTCGTCCGTGTCGCTGCCTGAGCGCGTCGGGTGCTTGGCGCCATGGACGGACAGCGCCTGGAGCCGGTCGAGGACCATCGCTTCGATCGCCGGGTTCGTAATAGTACTCGTGTACGCGTTGATCGGTGACCGAGCGGCGGCGGAGGCGTGGGCGTTATACGCGCCAGAGAAGCCTTTCCAGAGCGCGCCGCGGAGCTCGTCCGGGATGCCGACGCGCAGCGCCGAGACCACCTCGGTGGTTTGATCGTAATTGTTGGAGGTAAAGCACTGCTCGAGCTGCACGTACTTGGTCTCGGCGTGGCCTTGCAAGAGCAGCGAGAGCCATTTCCTAGCATGTATTGATACATTGATAGAATTCGGTCGGTAATACAAAGAGCGTACTTGGCGCTCGCCGACACGCCCGCGACTCGATCTTTCTCGTCGTAGATCTGCAGCACAAACCTACCCCATGTTAAAAGTGTTCGAACGGACTGTTCGAACGGAGTGGTATAGACAAACGTGTACATTTTGGACGGCGGCGTGGCAATCCAAATGAGGCAGCTGCCGTGTTCCAACGCGCGCATCTTGGAGAGTTTGAAAAAGCCGGTTTCTTTCTTGGCGCGAAGAAGCGACTGCTGCTCGCCCGTGACGCGCACGGTCGGCGCATGCTTGACGTCGACGCGTCCTAGAACCCCATGTCCATTCTGTGCACAATGTATCAATGTATCAATGTGCCTTGGAGCGTCGAGAGACTGTCGTCGTTAAAGTAGAGCAGGTCCCCGGACGCCAAGTAGACGAAAAAGTGCCGCTTCCAGTAGGCGATGATACTCTTGGGACTAGCATGGATAGGCAACATAAAGTATCCACCTCTATCCATATATCGATATTGGATAGTAGCAAAGTACCTCTGGACCGTACGCTCACGCCGCTTGGAGAGATACCCAGCGTGCAGCACGTCGACAAGCGGATAGAAGGCCGAGAGCGCGCCGAGAAGTGCCAAACCGTCCTCTTGCGCCGACTCGGCATCGTTGAAGCCCAAGAGCCAGACGTTCTAGCGCAGACGTAGGCGTGCAGCATCGTCGTTACGTCCTACCTCGGCCGTCAAGATGGCAAACTTATGGTCGGACGACGCAGCTTCGCCAGGCGACGGCGACCGTGCCTGCCGAGTGCAATTGGAGACAATCTGCATCAAGCGACGACGACAAACCTGCACCGTGTCCAAGTAGCAAACGCCCGTCGCGTCGGCGAGGGACATGACACCTTCCGGGTGCGTCGCCGTGGTCGAGTCTATGAGGAATCATGCAATGAGTGCGTAGATTGCATAGCGATAGAGGTACCGTAGTAGCGCAGCTCCTTGGCGTCCGTGCCTTTTACAAACACAAAGTACCGGCGCTGCCAGCGTTTGCTACCGCCTGCCTCGAGCCAAGGTGCCACGGTGTGCTGCGTACCTGAAGCGCCCGAGCTTGCGCAGCCACCCGCGCCAGAGCACCGCTGGTCCACCTACTGATGGCGAGCTCCTACACGATGGCGGTGCACGCCATGAGGCTCGCGGCGAGGAGCATGCCAGCGTCGTACGTTGGCCGCATCATCTCGCTCGCCAAACGGCAAACCCAGATATGATAGAAAGCAAGCGTTATCTATTGCTCATTCCACAACTCCACAACCGGATCGTTGCGTGCGTTTAGCGACGTGACGTGGCACACTCTCGGACCTTTCCCAGATCAGGAAGCATGGCTTGTGCACTCATCTACTAATGGTACCTTGCAGTCTGCAACACGGCGTCCACAAGAACACAGACGAGCGCGTTTATAATTACGGCGAGATACTTGGCGTACTAGGCTGCAATCTCAGCAGTGTAGTTGGCTGGCACCACGTAGAGCTCGGTGCGCTCGTCCACCGACACGATCCACTCGTTGGCGTCGACGTGCAGCACTTCCATCTTGGGCAACTTGAGATGCCCTAGCAGGATTCTCAGCAATAAGACCGTGGGCGCGCATCCATACCCGACTGCATCGGAATCAAGCCAAACGTGGATGTGAGCACCTCGCCCGGCAAGACCTCCTCCGTGCACTCGGTGACGCCTAGCCATAGTGTTCATCCTCCCTACCGATGCAACTTTTTCGTACCTGAAACGAGGAAATCCGAGTCGTTCGAGAGCTTGACTTGGACCTTGAGCACGCCATGCGTGTGGTTGGTTGTATGCAAGCGCAGCGGTGCCAAGTGCCCTTCGCGGCCAAACGCAGGGACATCGACGTCGACGCTGACGGGCGACACAACAAACGTCATTGGCGGCAATGGCAGCGTCGACGCGACCACGTCACCGTGGGGCCGGCGCCAGTGTACGATGACGCACCCCACGCTCGTTTGCGCCAGCATCGCGCGGGGCACGAGCCGTACCACGAGGCTGTGCTGGTCGCCGTCACTCAGTGCAAAGCCATCCGAGACGGCACCGACAAGACTCTCGACGGCCACGTCATCGGTCATCGACGCGTCAATCGAGAGAATCTCCAGCGGCATCAGCGCGACGCTCGAGAGAGTCGCGTACAAGTGCACGTGGCGCCCGACGGTCGCTACATACGGCGCCAGCCGCGCTGTCGGAAACGGTGCATGCAAGAGCGCACTCAGTGCCAGTGGCTCCTTGCAGCCAAACTCAAAGCTTGCGTCAAGCGATACGGTCACGCCGACCGCCGTCGTGTACTGGACCATGACATGCACCGTGAGTGCACACGGCGTGGAGCACTTGAGGCCAATGTCCAGCCTCTGCGTCGTCTGCGGCGCCATCGACGCGAGGGCAAAGACGTCCGTCGGCTGGCCAACGTCGTCGAGGGCGAGAGGTGCCTTCGTACCGACGTCGTAGAGCAAATGCGCGTCCAGGAGCGTCGCCGAGGACGGCTCACAGACGATTCGATACGTCGCGGCGTCCACGACATCGTCGAGCGACGAGAGGACGAGCGGAATCGTCGTGAGGTCGTTGACAAGCACATGCGTCGGCGCATTGACGTCGAGATCGAGACGCGCGTGGGCTCTCGGCTGCAGAATCGTGACAAAGCTGCCGACGTCGCCAACGTCGTCCGGCTCGTCGTAGAGCAATTCGGGAGCTTTCGAGCGCTGGAAGCTCGGCGACCCGGCGCCCATGCCCATGCCAGGGACGACGCCGTCCCAGGCGACGAGGCTGTTGCGACGCTTGAGGATGTGCACATTCGGCCGCGACGTCCGCGCGACCAAGATCAAGCTCTGGCCGCGCGGGTTCTCCAGCACAAAGCGCACTTCGTGGCATTGCAGCATCGACGCGCCGTCATGGAGGAGCGTCATTGTCAGCGACAGCGTCGTCGGCGCTTTGGACGGCAGCGTCAAGTCCCACTCGTCGCCATGGAGGAGCATCTGGTCGTACCGGTCGTCGCTAAAGACGACCGCGATCTTGGTCATGGTCAGCGGTGCCGGCAGCGACGACTCGAGCGTCAATGTCAGCGTCAACCGATCGCAGACGTACGCCTCGGTGCTGGAGAATTCGACGCCGCAGTAGATGACGGGCCGCGCCCGGTCGAGCGCAAGTTCGTACGACGGCTCGGGCAGCACTTCGTCGTCGGTCGGGGTCATCCACGCATGCAGAAAGCCGTCGAGGAGCGTGAGTCGCTCCGCGTGCGGTACAAACTCTTCGACTTTGGGCGAGAGCAGCTGCAGCGTACAGTCGAGGTACGAGAGCGTGTCGCGCTGGTAAAACGCGCAGAGGAGGAGTTGCTTGAGCACCTGCGACACCTGCGCCCACCATCGCTCTTGGCTGTACGCGAGTTTGGCCCGACTCAAATCGATGCGCGCTTGCGGATAGTCGTTGGCGGCAAGCCGCTCGATGCCAAGACGCAATAAGAACCGGTTCTTGAGCCGGTGCCGCGGCATGTGGTTGCTCTGGTAGTGCACGAGGTACTGCGTCGCGAGCTCCAAGAGGCGGATACCAAGGTGGGCTTGCGGCACGCATGTTTCCAGCCGTGTGCGCCACTCGGCCAAGGTCGGGCCGCCACTCGGCAACGTCGGGTCGCCGCCGACAAAGGCCGACGGCGTCACGACGACGCCATCGGTGGTCGCCGACGCGTCGAAGCTCGCGCCGAGCTTGGCCGCGGCCTTGCGGCGCCACGTCGCGTACTTGGCGGCCGCGCTGAAGTAGAGGTACGGCTCCTTGTACATGTCCGACTCGACGCCGGCTGACGAGAGCTTGAGCGACTGCGCCTCCAAGAGGAGCTGGCCAAACACGTGGTACTGCCGCGAGACCCACGCCCAGTGCTCGTACGCGCGGTCGAGCGGCCCAACCGCGCGGCTAAAGGCCTTCATGTGTCGATGGAGCTGGTCGATCGCGAGCTTGAGGTTGTGCGACGAAAAGATGTGGTGGTACACGAGCTTGAAGTGGAGAAACTCGGCGACCGCCTTGATCTGCGTGTGCGCGTCGGGCTCGGCGTCCGAGCTCGTCATGGGCATCGCTAGTAGCGCTTTGTACGCGCCTTCGTAGTGCTGCAGCATCTTGACCGTATGGCGGCGAAACTCGTAGTAGTGCCCGACCTTGAACCCATGGCGCACGGCGATGGCGCGCGACGGCTTCTTGGCCTTCTTGACGCGCTTGGCCTGCGTCTTGTAGTACTCGATTGCATGCTCGCGGATCGCACGCTCGAGCTTGATGATCATGGGCGACGTGCGACTCGCCTCTTTCAATAGGTACACGCTCTTCGAGTCGAGCTCGGCGCGCTTCCGGAGGCTCGCGAGCCGCTCGTCCGCGTTGCCACCGTTCGACGGCGGGCCATCGTCGAGCAGCTGCACGAGCACGAGCAAGATCTTGCAGTCGCGGCCCGCGAGGTTGCGCCGAAGATCCTCGACTTCGTCGCGGATGACCGTTTCTTGGATCGCCCAGTCGCGCTGCGCGAGGCGCGGCTCGAACGCATAGAAGAGCAGCACGAGCGAGGGCAGCAGCTCGTGGTGCTTCTTGAGCCAGCGCGTTTTGAGGATACCGGTCTTGGCTGGCGCCTTGGCCATCTCCGCCTTCTCCTTCTTGGCCGGGAACACAAACCGGTGCTCGTAGCTCGCGCTCGTAAAGTGGATGCGCGGAATGAACTCATCGTTGACCGAGCGCAGCACCGGGAGGATGCGCGTCTGGATGTCCTTGGGCCCGAGCGCGGCCACGAGCGGGCAAGGGACCTCGCGCAGCTCGGACGGGTATGCTTCCATGGCGATCACAAGTCAGCTTGGTCGCCGGATACACCGCCTCGGCCTTCGTATCCGGATCATTCGGCACGTGCTGTGATTGGGCAATCGCTCGATCCCATTCCCTTATCCAAGTACATTCAACTCGCCAGTATGCGAGCGGAGCGCGTGAGCTCGGTCGACGGCAACAACTCCCCGTGTCGACTCATCAGTGTAGCTTTCATGTATGGAGGCTGTGAAAGCACGCTCGGCCATCCTTTGGACGCGACGTCGACCCCCGGGACCTCAATGTAGTCGCACAAAAGCCAGCGTACTCGAATAAGGGAATTCACTCGGCAAACTCGGGCAACGGGCCAAGCAAGACACATGACCAAGCGGCTGCTCGCGCTCCTTGCCGTCGGCGCGCAGGCGGCGGTGACGCTGACGTCGAGCCCACCGGCTGACTGCAGTGCGTCCTCGACGTGCAAGTCGCTCACGTGTCTGAGCGGCTGGTGGATCGACCTTACGGACAACCACATTGAGCTGGCCATCCTCGCCGGCGCGCTCGTCTTCCTTGCGTCCTTCTTGCCGCGCGTGCTTCTGCGGCTCGTCATCTTCATCCTCAAGAAGTTTCCCTTCTTGCGCGAGTAGGCCCACCACGCGATACTGTCCTCCATGCTCACCCGACGAACGAGTATAGGGTCATTGAGGACTACGAGGCCCATTGCATCTGGTCGACGACGTATTTACTGTGCAGCACGCTCATCTGGGGTGCGCTCACCGTCAGCAAGCTCTCGCAGTTTCTGTGCCGCATCCACATTTACATCTGGGGTCTCTTCTTCTTGCTTTGGCTCTACTACGTGTTTGTCGTTGTCGACAAGGTGACGATGCCGCAGACGTCGTCGATGGTAGCTTACCAAACGACCTCTAGTTTGCAGTCCGCAAGTTTGGCGGCAAAGGTGAAAGCTCCAAGAACGTCGTCATCTCCGAGTCGATCAAGGTACGCCGTCATCATGTCTTGTTGTCTCAAGCGGTTGGTGTAGCTCCTGCGACTGCTTGTGATGGTGATTGCAGCCATGTACATTTACCTTCAAATGTGGCAAGACCAGACGCTGCTCAAGTACTCGTTTCTGGGCATGATTGGTGGCGCGATCGCGCTCGGTTTTTGTGGGCGCGGTAGGGTTGCCGATTTTCAGATGTAAAATCTGATCACGCCGCGTAGACGCACAATGCAGTCGGCGGCCTCTACCTTGTGCTCAACGCACCGTTTAAAGTCGATCAGTTTATCCAAATTGGCTCGGTGAAGGGCCATGTGAGCCGCGTCGCCCTGCGCTATACGGTGATCATTGGCCTCGACAGCACCAAGATCTACATCCCGAACAGCATTGGCCTCGACAGCACCAAGATCTACATCCCGAACAGCTACTTTCTGTACAAGCCCATGGTACTCCTCTCATACGATGTACAATACTGTCCTACGGATTCAACTAGGTCAACTACTCCCAAGCCCCGAAACGCCAGCTGCAGATGGACATTGACGTGGATCCGCACACGAGTGTGGCCCTTCTCCAGCGCCTCATGACGGACCTCGAGCTCATGTTGCAGTCGCGCCACATGGGTCTGACGTCCCACGAAGACTACAACGGCGATGAGAAGACCAAGCAGCTCTTCTTTGTGACTATGGAACAGCTCTACCGCGTCCGCCTCTATACGTTTACGGACGAGCTCGACGCGAAGAAGCACGCGCTCATCAAGTCGGAGGTGTGGCTGGCGGCCATGGAGATCATGGACGACCTCGGCATCCGCATGAAGTCCCAGTCGGCGGCCGCGTCCTCGGTGTCGGCCAAAGGCAATACGCTCGACGACCATGTGCCGTTCGCGGCCGAATTTGGGCTTCTCACCGGCGCGTCGTTGTAGCAAGTACTCGTGTGTATCAATGTATCAATCAGACTCCATCTTGTGTATCAATGTAGCAATCATCCTCCATCGTTGCAACGGTGTGGATCACTGCGCGACAAGACGTAAGCTCTACGCATGCGTGTTCCATGTACGTACAGGTGTCGACTGCAGGAAGAGCCGTTGCACGCCTATTGACGCGTCCTCTCAGTGCATTCGAGGGAGAAGACACAATGCCAGAGGACAAGGCGAGCGCAGCCACCTCGAGCGAGACGCTGACTTGTATACTGCATGATAGGGCTAGGTTCAAAGGTTTAGCTGTTCATGACTGAAAGCAAAAATTGTCATTTTGATTGTGATCAATACAAAGTAGCAAGTCCGGCGTCGATGGTCGTGTGGGACACAGCTGCGAGCTTGCGAAGGCGACGGCCGATCACGGAAGGCACTGCGAGTAGTGGGGGTTGTTGAACACGCACGTGCTGCCTTTCGGTGCACGTCGTGAGGCCCGTCCAGCCTATACCGCCGCACTGGCCGTAGCGGGGGACTAGAGTTTCGTGTTGACGGTCTTGGGCTGGCACTGCGAGTAGTAG